GCTCAGCACTCAAGCCCCTCTGCATCGTGCTTTAGGTAATGGAGGCGTTCCTTTCAGAGAGTACCATGCACCTCCATCATCTGACGTGTGGTTCGTGAGCGCAACTTTACAACCCACCTCAGCTACTACGGGGGGATAATGAGAATACGGTTGGGCTGATTGTCAGCACATCTTCACGATGCTCCGGCCTGCTCTCAGCTGACAGAGGGGGCAGGACAGACGTACTGTGAGTCTGCGTCACTGGTGCCAGAGGCAGGAGATGCCTTGCTCATGCCCACATGCAGGAGGAGCACTTGCTGGATATATGCTGGAGCTGAAAGGGGCCTTAGATGCCATCCAGACCCACCCATTTTACACACAGGGAAACGGAGGTCCAGGGAGGTCAGGGCAGTGGTACCAGTCTGCAGAGCTGGTTGGTGCCTGAATTGTGGCTGGCTCTATGGGATGCAAAGGCAAGGCTTGTGCTTGTCCCAGGCTATACTTTGGGGTTGTTGATTGGATGCCCTTTGCATTCCTGTGCTCTGATCTGGAAGCTGTTCTTTCTCTAGCACGTGGATCCCAGGCTTCAGAGGACCAGGAGTGAGGCTTGGGGAGAGGGAGGGTTGTTCCAAGTCTCTGCTGCCTCCACTTCCCCTTTAAAGAAGCCTTTCAGCTTGGGGCATGGAGAGAGTCCAGAAGCAGGGAGACCTGGGTGCTGAGCACCACAGTCTGCACTGTCCTGGTCTTGRCACCCCCATCTGTCACCTGGAGTGAAGGCAGCTGCCAGCTTAATTCCCTGGCAGCAGTGGCAGTGTGAATCCAGCGACAGCCCAGGAAGAGGCAGCGTTTKTGAGAGACCCCCGGGGGTCGCTAGGACCTGCACAGTTTACCCTCCTCTCAGCCCTAAGGGGCACTTGGAGCTCCTGGGACAGGTGAGGAAACTGAAACTAAGCACTTGATACCGAGTGAAGCTGGGATTTAAACCCAGATTGAACAGTTGATGAGCAGGATCACTGGTCTACACTGTACCAGTAGAACATGTAAAAATGTTAAGTGGACCAGGCATGGGGGCACACACCTGTAATCTGAGGGGCTTGGGAGGCTGAGGTAGGAGGATTAAAAATTCAAGACCAGCCTCAGCAATTTAGTGAGGTCCTGTCTCAAAATAAAAAAATAAAAAGAGCTGGAGTGGTGACTCAGTGATTAAGTACCCCTGGTTTCCATCATTGGTACCTTGAGAAAGAAAGAAAATGTTAAGTGGTTTCAAATGATCACAGATATCATGTCTGAACTGTATTTTTATTATTAATAGTAATGCCCAACTTTTCATTTGAGGCCTTATTTTTATTTACATTTTATTGCCAATCTTTTCCATGTACCCTGTGCCTCGATCCTTCGTCCACTGGGGTATGGTGAGTGGCAGGGCTTTGTAAGGTGCTGGCCGGCAGCCCCAGGAGGAAGCCAGTTCTTGCTAACCCGAGTAGACGTTTCTGAGGTTGAGGAAAAATGCTTCTGTCTACYTCCTGTCTTCACTCCCACGTCACCTTGGCCCTTCCTTAAGAGGGAGCGGGGATTTCTGAGACCAGATRTAAATATGGGCACTTACATATTTTAAATGGATAAAGGTAAATAATGCCAGGCCTCCARGCAGCAGCCTCTACCCTTTGGATCTTCCCCGTGTGCCAAGCTGTAKGCCAGGCACTCATTTGTGGTAACTCACTGGCTCCTCTCAGCAGCCTTCCCTGAGAGAGAGCAGGGAACTGTCATTAGATGTAATTGTTTTCCTCACAAGGAGACTGATGCTCCCATGGTTTGTGCCTTGTCCAAAGAGCACACAGTTAGTGTGTGGCCAAGGTCTCCAGGGGCCAGCCCTCCCTGCCGCTCCCTTCTGGTGACTCCGGCCACCTTGCTGTTCCTGGAATTCCTCATACTGCTTCCTTTCAGCAGGCTCTTTTCTCAGCCAATGCTCTTTCCTGTCATTAAGGCCTCTGCTCCAATGTCACCGAGAGGCCTTTCCAGGCCTCCCCACCTCCAGCCTAAAGGAACAGCCTGCCAGTTCCCCCATTCCTCCTTGCTATTTCTCTGTGGAGCACACATCACCCCTGACCGTTATGTTTGACATTTATTTCTTAGTTTCTGGCTCTCTTGTGAACTCCACAAGAGGGACACATGGCCTTTTTTGTTCACTACTGTATCCCTTGCCCCTAGAAAGATCATGGTATATGGGAGTCACTTGGGTGAGCAAGTGAGTGAGTGAATGAATGAAGGGGAACTCCCAAAACCTAGCCTGTCTGACTTCAAAGTCCTTGCCCTAAACCTCCACACCCATCTGCCCTCTCTCTGTTTCCGTCTTTACTGAGCCCAACTCAGTAGGTGAAACTCCCCGAATGAGACTCTCTGATCAGGGTGTCAGGAGGACCTGAGTAGTTCTGAGCCATTATTCTCTTTTTCTCTCTGGGCCTCGGTTGCCATATATGTAAAGTGGGGGAATTGCTAGGATTCCTCAAGCTTTTATTTCTCAGAATCTGGCTCTGCTGCTACTTGGGCACAGTCACAGTCACCGGGCACTTCCCAACTGTGATTAAAACCCAGAACCTCAGCTTGCAGGTTCACATCAGCACTTTGCATCTTGCAAATCTGATGACACAGGGATTCCTTAGGCCCCCATCCTGCAGTGCAGGATGCTCGGACACCTCCGTGACATCATGGGGAAAAGGAGGAAGCTTATACAGCATGAAGCATGGACCTGTGGTTGCCCGGATGCTGTTTTCAGTGTCCTTCTCTGACTTTCCCAGAATGTGCTAACTTTGTCCTTGAGTCCTCTTAGCTTAAAAGGGTGCTTTTTTCCCATCCAACCCTTGCTCATGTTGGTGACCGAGCTGCCACTCACCAGGCTATTTATGGGGAAATGTGAGTTTCAATTGGCCAGCATCAAGATGAATTCTGCAGACTGGGGGGACTCTCCCTTGCTTTTTTCCAGCTGTGGCTTGATGATCATTAAATCAGACCTAATGCATTGCAGATTGTTCTGATCAAATCCTGTTGTAGGCAGAATAGCGAGAGAGAGGCTCTGAGCCAAGGCACCCCCACCCACGCCTGCAGTCTCCAGAGGGACCCTCACCCTGTGCCTCAGCTCCAGTCTTTAATAAAAGCTCTCCATGTGAGCTCAGGAGGAGGATGCAGTGCCCAGAGAAGCAGCCATTGCATATGGTTTCTATTTGAGCACCCTGGGGACAGGGACCTCCTGGGTGGGGTCAGGGTGGGGTTCAAGCTGACATCCTAGGCCAGAACACAGGCCTCCTATTGCATAAATCCCTTTATAGCTCTTTATTTGTCTGGCATGAGGAACACAGCAGCCCTGGAGGGAGGCTGCGGGCCACAGCGTTCACAGACACCTAAGTGCCACTTTKGGGCACCCTCCAGGATACAGTGGGATGTTCAGCTGACCCACAGTGGAGTCCCAGTAGAGAGCTTTTTAAAGGGGATCCTGAGGTCTTTTAGGCAAGCTGGCTCTGTCTCCGTTCCTCCAAAGCCCAAGACCCTGACTGTTCCCGGGGTGGAAGGGCATATTGCTGACGATTCACTCTTGCCCTTGGGTGAGGAAGGCAGGGAAGTGTCACTTGCTAATATGATCCATGCCTCTGTGGAGGGCTAGTCCATCCCCAGGACCAGCATAGACATTTATCCCCACCTGCTGGGCCTCACAGCTTCGCCACATGTGTAGCAGGACCTGGCTGGCTGGATTCCCTCAAAGGTCAGGTTTTGATTAGAGTCAGCCAGGAATTCTGGGTCTAGCCCAGCAGGAAGGGTACCTCTGTGCCCTTCTGCTGCCCAGTAACCTTGCCTGTGCCATTCAGGTGGCACAGATGTAGAAGGAGGAGAATAAGCAGCCAGCCCGGCTTCCAGGGACAGCTCGTTCTCTTAATAAAGTAATTACAGAGCTGGATAATTTACATCCCTAGAAAGATGCAGGGCAACTACCGACCGGGGTGTGTGTGTGTGTGTGTGTGTGTTTAATTTTAAATCCTCCAACCTCCCCTTAATGAGGAGGTGCCTTGAAATATAACGGGTGTTAGAATTCTTCAAGGATTCATTTTCTTGGTGCTCTATTTCTTTAAGGGAAGGCATGAATGACAAATGAGGACCTGCTGGAGCAGGGGAGGGTTTTGCCTCCCCACCCGTGTTGTGCAGACATTATCTGCCGTAAAACTGTCTCTGAAGGATGGAGAACCGGCTCCTGGCTGCAGTGGCCCTCAGATAATGTCAACGTTGAGCAATGACCCAGGATTTGTTGGCACCAAGCAAATACTTCTAGGTCTCTGGTGCCAGAATCCTTAGCTGAGCCTGGTCAGATGTTTCTGCCAAGGAAATGAAGGTGCCTTGGTGGCACCCAGGGGCCCCACTGTGAGGGCACTACATTTTTTTTTTTTTTTGGTGGAGGTGAGGTGCAAATGTTAATGTTTCTCTGAATCACCTGGGAATCCTGTAAAAATGCAGAGAGTGATTCAGTAGGTCTGGAGTGGGGTTGAGATTGTGCATTTCTATCAAGCGCTGGGTCATGCTACTGGTCCATGGACTATATTTTGAATAGAAAGACCCTAGAAAAGGCAGACACTGGTTTTCCTGGGTCCTACCAAGTRGTTTTAGCTCCATAGAATACCAGACAGGTAGGTCAGCCTGGAAGGGGGAAAGCTGTGGGGGTCTCCCAAGGGTCTGGAACACTCTCAACTCTTCATTATGAAGAGGGCCGTGGCATGATGGGTGGCCCCTTACTCCAGCTCAGTGGATGGGTTTGCCCACTTTGCCCCATTAAGTTTACCTTTCTCTTATGGGAAAATTGAGCATGCAGACCTTGAACTCTGCAATGGGGGCATGATGGGAAGGGGAGGCAAGCTCAACCTTTGAGGCCCTCGACCAGCCTCAGAGTGTGTGCCAGGGAGTTGATCAGGTTGAATCTGATTTGGGCTTCCTACCTCCCCGGTGTGCTCAGTTAATCCTCTCCTGCTCTCCTGTTTTCATAGGTCCCTGGATGAGAAAGAGCTGACAGCAGCTGAGTCCCACCTTCTCTGTGTGCTGGGGAGCAGGGCTGCACAGCCCCGGTGGCACCCATGCCGAAGAACAGCAAGGTGACCCAACGTGAGCACAGCAATGAACATGTCACCGAGTCAGTGGCTGACCTGCTGGCCCTTGAGGAGCCTGTGGACTACAAGCAGAGTGTACTGAATGTGTSCGGTGAGGCAGGTGGCAAGCAGAAGGCAGCGGAGGAGGAGCTGGACGCAGAGGACCGACCAGCCTGGAATAGCAAGCTGCAGTACATCCTGGCCCAGATCGGCTTCTCCGTGGGCCTCGGCAACATCTGGAGATTCCCCTACCTGTGCCAGAAAAATGGAGGAGGTAAGAGGCTGCCCTGCTTGCACCAAGGTGCCCTGCGAATGGGCAGGGCTGAGGGGTRAAAAGGAGGCAGAACTGGAGTCCATGTAAGGTGGCAATTCAGGATTCCAGAGTGACTCCCAGGAATAGCCATAACGGTGGCTAATAGCTATCCAGAGGCTGTAGGCCATGATGATAAGAATGCGTACTCTGACTGCAGACTGCCTGGGTTCCGATCCCAGTCTGGGACCTAGTAAAAGTTGCTTAACTTCTTTGTGCCTCATCTGTAAAATGGGGGTAATAATGAATAGTGGCTCCTGCTGGAAGGATTAAATGAGCTTTATACACTACACGACCCATAATAAAGAGCACCTGTTGGCCACTATTCTCAAATGCCTACTAGGTGCTAAGCATTTTCTAAACATTGGCTTTTAGGCCTGAAACTGCTGATATTTGAGCATCTTGAAACAACCACATTACCGTTTTCACAAGTCCGACCATGGAATCCTCCCAACCATCTTATGTGAAGAAGGAGTTGTATCATCATCCTCGCTTTAGAGACTGCAAAACTGAGACACAGCTTGTTTAGGTGGTTTGTTCAGGGTCATGTGACATAGTTAGGACTCAACCTGAAAAACCTGGCCCCAGCCTGTGTACTGCTTATGGCACCTGCTGTCACCTGCCCCACTCCCGTAGGGGACCTCATGCTGTACCTGTGTGAATTTCTCTTGAGGWTCTTGCTGGGGTCAGACCACCATCACCACTTCCAGATGCCAGGGTGGGCAGAAGCCCCCAGGCATTGCTTCTCCAGCACTGAAATGCAGCCCCATCCAGCGGCTTCCCCTCCTCTCCACAAGGACACAAGGACACATTCTCTGCCTGGTTCAAAAGGCAAAGTCTGCCTGGGGGCTTCTCTTCCTTCCCAGTTTCTACTGAAGGACAGGGAGTGAGACTGCCCATCTGAGCTCATGTGACTGAGTCAGGCCAGAGGCTTCCACTGTAGAGTATATTCACCACATGGTTCCCTTCCTTGAAAGACATTTTTGATTTTTTTCTATAAGTAACTGCCAATCAGAGCTTTTGATGTGGTCACCATGTTGACATAAGACCAGCTCAAAGCAAGATATAAACAAAAGACTTCCTTATGCTTTTCCTCCGAGAAGAGCTTGGGAGCACCAAACACTTTTGGATCACAGCTGGCATTTGGGGACTTACTCAGAACCTCTAACCTTGTCCTTGCTGGCTTAGATGATCAACCCTGCCTGGATACCTGGTGCTGAATCCCAGAGTCCCCCTGACTACTGCATGCGTGCACATGCATACACTCAGGACAGTGCAGTCTCTCAGGACAGTGTTCTTACCTAGATCGCCTGTTCATAGTGTCAGCAATCAACACCCCCAGAAGAAAAGTGTGGTCAACTCTTAGGATTCTGAGCTCCCATTCTATGTTCTATGTTCCTGCCCTTATTTGTCCTTCCTATCTAGCTCCGGCAATCCCTTCTCACCTTTAACTGTCCTGCCTCTCACAGGTTTTACAAGTCACCTTAAATGTCGAGCAGGAAGCACATGGTCCTAGGGAGGAGACAGGTGTTTGGCCTTGGACTTGGCACTCGGTGGTTTTGAAACATGGGTGATTCAATCAAACCTTGCTTAATTCTGGATGGAAACTCTGGGACTCTGCTTAGCTCCACCAGATGCCAGCAATTTCTTTATTTTGCATCCTCTTAATTTGCCTCTTTTCTGTTTATTTTTATGAGAAAGAGGCAAATGTTTATTAAGTGCTTAATGTGGATAAGTAACTCATTTTCTCTTTACAATACAGCCCTGTGATAGATAGCGCATCAAAGTGTATGAAATGGCATTTATATAAGTAAAAAATGGTCCCATATCAGCCATTTTTCATGTTTCTACTTAATATTTCCATCCTTTTTACACGGATGACAAGATATCAAGTAATTTGCCCCAAATTACAAGCTAGTAAGTGGCAAAGCCAGGATTCGAGCCTGGGAGGTCTGCCTCCAGGATCTGAACTTGGCTCCTGCTTAATCCATAGCTCAATGGGTTAGGGCCAATGTAGTCTTTTAAGCTCTGGAAAGAAACCTGGGGTTTGCCAGAACCAAGGAGCTGGGTGTAGACTGAGACATAGATTGCTAGCGATCCAGGGAGCCTCAGAGAGCCTGGAGTCGGTCCACATTTTGCTCAATTTCCTAATGCTCCCAGCTGTCCCGACTGGAGGCTCCTGAAAGCTGCTGAAACATGGAAGCAAACCCACTGTGTCCCCAGGTTGTGTTTTCTGAGATGGAAGAGGGTGCTACTGTCTTCTCCAATGATTTCAACAAAGGCTGATACACTACAAATTGAGCTCCCCTAGACTTCACACAGCCCCTCGAGCACTCTGGTCAGCAGGGCCTCAGCCTGGTGGAGAACCCTGCAGCTAGGTCAGCCCCCCTGTGTCCTGCCTGACTGAGGTGGATGGGGCCTGAGCAGCAGGAGGCCAGTACCTGGTTTAGGCAGGTTCACTGTTGAGGAGAGGAAAGAAACATCTGTAGAAGATGCCAATACTCTGAAACCCATCTCCCTGCACATCTAGTCCCTCTCAAGGATATTGCGGCATATAAATAAAAAAACCAGGAAGGCTATCTTCCTTTGCCTTCCTATAGCAGATGGCTTCTTTCTACTTCCATTTCCTTCCACCCAAGGCCAAGAAGTTGAGTTAGACAGACCCAGGGGTCTACACCTGTGTTCCTTCAGACCCTTCCTCCTTTGAGCACCATGACGAGGCTGCTTTTGATGTGTTGAATTTATGTGCACCACGGTGATGAATTCAGTGCTATTGTGTATGACTCGGTGGGTTGCCTCCCCAGAACCAGGCCCCTTCCTGCATATCTACATACATACTGCTCAGTTGGTTTCATGTGACCAGTGCTGACATTGCCCGTGTGCAGCTGAGAGCCCAACCTCCCTCACAGATTGTGAGCTCCCCCAAGGATGGCGTCTGTGCCTTCTGTTACTCCACTGTCCCCCTACTTTCCTGCTTGGCACTGGGTAGACCCGCAGTACACAGCTGACTGTTGCCAAGTGCCAGGTTTGGTGCCCAATCCCCAGTGTTTCTTGGCAAATTTGGCACATATAGGAGAGAATGTGAGATATTATGTGATAGGGGCAGAGCAGTGAGGCTGGGGGACATCTGGAGACTGCTCACAGGCACGGGGTGACCATCAGGGCCTTGGTGACTAGGGCGGGCCTGAGACTGTTTGATAGACAGGCAGGGCCTGGATGACAGTTTGCTAATAGGACTGTGTGGTTGGCACAGCTCTCTGTGGCGTGCATTCGTCCATGTCCAGGCGTGGCTTTAATTCTCCTGCTAAATGCCCTGTCACTTGGAATTGAGATTGTGTCTGCAGTGAGGTTTAGGACAGCAAGATTCATTTATCATCTGGAATCTTTAGCAAGATTCATTCTATCCTTTATGATCCTCCTGACTACGCTTTCCTGAACAGCCAATTTCTCTTCTGTTCCTCCCAATTAGCTGTGGATTAATGAGGATGCTGGTTAGACCCCCCCTCTCCCTGGAGAGCTTCCAGTTTCTGCTTCCCTGGAGCTGCCCAGTCTGCTGCATCAGCATCTGGCTCAGATATGGGCAGGCAGGGCCACTGGGGGCAAGTGATCAGGGCCCATGCCATCTGGGGTTCCTTACCTGTGGGCAGGAGGGGTGTGAACAGATGTCCACAGAGTATTTTCTAAGGTGAATGTGTCTGCATATGACTTGACGCATGCGTTCCCGAGACGCGGTGAGATGTCCTTCCCTCTGTTTCTGAGCTGAGTCTAGTGAGCGGGAGTATTGATATACGTATGTTCCTCCCTTAGCATTTTAGGCTGGGGGAGTCAAGGAGAAGCAGGGTATGAATGAGCCAGTGTAGGGTAGGTCACAGGCATGAAAGGGCCCTGGGACTGGGGTCAGTGAGTGGATGCTCTGAGATGTGATTAAGACTGGGGGACCCTGCTGCCACACCTTCTCTCATTCTGACCTTGTACTCTAGACAGCCTCTGACACCCCTCCTCTCTCTCCACAGGTGCCTACCTGGTGCCCTACCTGGTGCTGCTGATCATTATTGGCATCCCCCTCTTCTTCCTGGAGCTGGCTGTGGGCCAAAGGATCCGCCGCGGCAGCATTGGTGTGTGGCACTACGTGTGTCCCCGCCTGGGGGGCATTGGCTTTTCCAGCTGCATTGTGAGTCCAGGGCTGGGGAAGGCACTAAGCCAGAGACAGAAGGGCCACTCTTGGATAGAGGTTGACAGGCCACAGTCCTGGGCCAAGACAAAGGCAGCAAGGGGTCACCCAACAGGAGAACTGCTTCCAGCTGGTGTCTGGGGCTACAGTTACCATATTTCCTACACTGAAAGTCGACAGCCCTGCCTGAAGTAGAATGTGATATTTGCAACTGAGGCAAAGGAGGCAATGCTGGGACATGTTCACAAGGGAGGCCCTGGGACATCTCAGCCAGGGTCTCTGGGGGACATATAGACCATTTAAAATACCTATCTCTGCTTCTCAGCCATCAGTTCCCTGTAACAGGGCCCTACCCCTTTCCCTGGGCAGGCAGTGTTTCCACTGGGAATGTCAGTGACTCCRAAAAGGCTCAGGGCCCTGTTGCCTTGGTGCTACACAAATGAGCCCCATTGGAGTACCCAGGAACCTTATGGCCAACCCAGGAGAGGTGAGGCTTGGGAACAGTGGAGAGAGGGAGACCCCCAGAATCCTGGGAGGGGAAGTCCATGAGGCCTCCAGTTCAGCCACCAGGTGGCAAATGAGGCCCCGTGTAGAGCTCTAGGTGAAGAACTGAGTGCTCCTTAAGGGCAAAGCCGACAGTTGCCTATGCTCATACCTGGAATAGAAACTGGAATCTGCTCTGGAAGGGACTAAGGATTCCATCAAGCAGAATGGCAGGGCCAGTCCAAACCTGCTCCAGGGAGAGCCTGGGAGAGGGGCTGTCTGGCCTCTACTCACCCACAGGGCACTGCCTTTGCACAAGTTGATCTGGCTAGCTACAGTGCACTCTGCTGGGCTGGCCGCGGTCACACACAGGAGTGTGTGCSGGGTCTCCCCTTGCACTGAAGCACCCAAGTAAAGGAAACGGGCATCTCTCTCCATTTCTGTCCCCACACAGCCTGCCGGGCAAGCGTCTGCTCTGCACACAGGTAATCAGGTGAACCGAACCAAGCAAGGGGCCCTTGGCTCTTACTCTGAACAGCAGTCTTCCCACTGCCAGGCCCCTGGAAAGGACCCCTCAGCATCTAGATCAGATGCTGCAAATCTCTGTCCATAAAACATTACTTTCAAAGAAACCCTTTGGACCCTCCATCAGATTCCATGTACTCTTATTTTAAATAAAACTCTACCAAGCTTAGTTATTGTTTCCAAGAAATGAAAAGTGGTGTTTTTCTGGAGGCCGGCTGCTAGCAGAACCAAAGAGAGAGTAATATCCTGAGAGAAGGGAAGACATAGGAAACCAGCAATCCATAAAATCTCATAAAGCACAACCGCCTGGGGCCGTTTCCTATAAGGGCAAAAGCTGCGCAGCCTCTCTGGTCCTGGAGGACATCTCTAATCAGAATCCTAGGTCCTCAGGAAATGGCGGGGAAGGGCTTCAAGCATCTTAGAGGAATTTCAAAACTGGAAAGGATTAACATTTTAAGAGTCTATTTAAGACAACTTTAATATCCAAAGAATTCTTTTGTGGTTGCCTGAGTGCCAGATGAATGGGGGATGGGGAGCAGGTCCTTGCTGCTCCTGCTGCTCCGTCTCATCCCTGGTCGTCCTCCTTCGTGGCTGTGCTGCTGTGTCCTATGTCGTTGGCCTGTGCTGCTGGCCCTGGGATGGAGTGTTGGGTGGGATGGCGTTGCCATTAACCCCCAGTCTCTGTGATCCCGCCCTGGGTCCCCGTCCTCAGGTGTGCCTCTTTGTTGGGCTGTATTATAACGTGATCATCGGATGGAGCATCTTCTACTTCTTCAAGTCCTTCCAGTACCCACTGCCCTGGAGCGAATGTCCTGTCATCAGGAATGGGACCATGGCAGGCAAGTATGGGACTCAGCCAGCTCTCTCCCTAGCAGGAGTCTAACAGACTTACTGCACAGATTGGGAATTTCATTGATGTGTCACCTTGGACAAGTCACTTAACCCCCTTGATCCTCATTTCCATTTCTACAGTATAAGTGATCCCTTTCTGGCTTCTCCCACGGGGTGCTTAGAGGACTGAATTAAATGAGGGTAGTTAAAACACTATAATTCTTATTTTTCTTTGGTCAGTATGGATTACTCTGTGTTATTCTAACTCCAGGCTGCGTGTGAATAATCTTGATTTGTAGGATGCCAGTCCTACAAAGGGCTGGATGATTATCCCACTTTGCAGATGGGAAAACTGAGGCCCTTGAAGCCACTTTCCCATGTCCCCAGTATCCATTCTGGGATGAGAATCTAGGAACTTTCCCAAGGACCTTCAGGCCAATTCAACCTCCACCCTTACTACCTTCTGTGGACAGATGTGGGCAGCAGGGGGTGTAGGAGGAATTCACCCAGCTCAGCATGACCTGTGGCCTCCCGGCCTCCATCAGGAGCTGGGATTCCCCGGGATCTGCCAGATCATGGCTAACCCAAAATAAGCACAGCCCCTTCCAGCTGCCCACCCTCAGCCACGCCTTCACCCTGAGCAGAGGTCCAGTAGGAGAGGTGGCCCCAGGGGCCTCGCCACTGACCTCTGTGGCCTCTGCTGCTGTTTCAGTGGTGGAGGCAGAATGTGAGAAGAGCTCGGCCACCACCTACTTCTGGTACCGAGAGGCCTTGGATATCTCCAACTCCATCTCTGAGAGCGGGGGCCTCAACTGGAAGATGACGCTGTGCCTTCTCGTGGCCTGGAGCATTGTGGGCATGGCTGTGGTCAAGGGGATCCAGTCCTCAGGGAAGGTGAGTTGGAGGAGGACAGCAGAAAGACAGAGGACAGGGGACTGAGAACTCCACGTCACCAGTGCAGGGCCCTTGGGTTGGCTTATGTTCTGGATGGCTTAGGGTGATGGCACTGACCCCCAAGGGACCGGGTGGGAGTGACTCCTGCGTTGTTGTCCACTGAGAACAGCGGGCCAGGGTTGGGCTTGCTGGAAGATCGTTGTCCTGACCCCTGACTGCCTTCATGCTCAGAGAATTCAGTCCAGCCCTGCAACATTAAAGAGAAGGAAGATAGAAGCATTGACTCAGGAATATCTGTTTAGATTCTGTCCCTTCGGGTTCCCAAGCAAAGCCCTAGAGTCACTTGCTCTGAGTGATTTTGGGGTGAAAACCAGCACTTTCCATGTCAACAACTATAGGGTTGTTTGAGCAGGTGGGTGCTGTGAGTGAAGGGGGCCTTGGGGGCCTCTGAGGGCAGCTCTATGGCCACTCCATCTTGGGGTGCACACTGGCCAGGCCCACACACCTTTCCCCAGCAGATCAGATCCCTTCTGAAGAGGGCCCTTTCTTACTTGTCCCCTATCAGTACTCACGCCCTGCCAGGGATGAAAAGGATGTTAGAAATCCTGTAGCTCCATGCACTCATTTTACAGATGAGGAAACTGAGGCCCAGAGAGGGGCAAGTGTGTCGTCTAACCTCATGCAGCCAATTAGCCTCAAAGCTRGAACCCGAGCCTGTTCTGTCTGAGGTTTTGGGTTCTTGGCCAGACTTGATGAGYAAGGAAGCTAAGTTCCTGAAGGTGGCATCATCCTGGCTCCTGATCTCTCCCCTCTTTGGAGGCCAAAGTCGTAGCTGATGCTTTGTGGAACTTACCAGTACAGCCACATATGTGAACACATGTCATCCTCAACAACCTTATGTGGAAATTTTAGAGCCTTAGAAATTTTCACACCCCTCTTAGAGACAGGGAAACAAAGACACATCGAGGTTAAGTCCATAGGCTGGAGGCCACGGCAACTGGTAGTGGCAGGCCCAGAACTTGGGCACATGGCTCTGGACATGCACCTTCTTAACCTTTGCACTATCCTGCCCACATCARCCCCTGGGATTTGCTTCAGAACAGGATGTTTTGTGAGCATAGCCTTTGCATGTGGCTCTGTACCAGGCCTACGGAGCAATAAAAATATGCAAGACATGCACAGGCCAGCAAATAGTGTGGGCTCGGGCTCACAGGACTAGGCTTCCTGATGGTCTCCGATTGGGAACCTTGTCTGTGGCCTCCTGCATGCCTCTGTCAAAGGAACTCTAAGGACAGGGGCATGAGACTTGAGTAAATGAGGAGGAGAGCATAGGATTCCCTCACCCTTGGCAGCCTTGAGGATGGGGGCCTAAACCATCAATCCTTGGGAGGCAAGCAAGCCCTGGGCCAGCCACGTGAACTCCAGCCTTTCCTGCTCCTGCCTGGGCTTGGGCCAGATGGGTGATGGGTTGGCCTGGTGCCCAGGGACTCCGGGGCTCTGCTGTCTGCTGTCTGGTATCCCAGGAGTCTCGTGTGCCCCAACTGTGAGCAGGGAGGGCTATGCAAGCTGCAGGAGCAGGAGGGGTTCTGCCTGATGGTGGGTCTCCGTCCTCTCTGCAGGTGATGTATTTCAGCTCCCTCTTCCCCTACGTGGTGCTGGCTTGCTTTCTGGTCCGAGGGCTGCTGCTGCGAGGAGCAGTCGATGGCATCCTACACATGTTCACTCCCAAGGTAAGAGCTGGGGTTCCCATGTGCAGGGAAACACTGACAGGCCCGTGAGCCTGGCRCGCTTCATACAGTGGAAGACACGCTGAGCACCTACTGCCTGTGGGAATGATGCCAGGTGCTGGCGGGGTGCACAGGGACCAAGGAGAGGGACATCACATCCATTCAAGGAAAGAGGTCCTGAAATGAGCCCGAGGGAGCAGGTAGGATTTCAGTGAGCGCCAAGAGGAGATTGTCATCAAAGGGAGCTACGTGAGCAAGGGTGTGCGACAGYACTGGGCATGTTTGAGGCGATAGTGGGGAGTAGGTTTGGCTGGGATCTGGGGTGGGGGCAGGGRGCCTCGCTCCTTTATTCATTCGGGAAGGTTCATTTCGTGGACCTGTGACATCAGGAATCAAGAAGGTGCCCGAGAGTTCAGAGTTCCCCCTGGAATCCCAGTTTGTACCCAAATCTGGAGATCAAGGTTGCTTTTCTATTATAGATAAGCCAGTACGAGTGATTTTACCTTATGGACCCTTGCTTGCCTCCTCTCCRTCCTCTCAGTAGCCCCCTTGGAGACCAGCAGGAGCTCTGCTCACCTTACATAGAGGGCGTGGACAAGGCACAGGTGTCCTCAAGGCATACACCCAGCTTCCCTGAAGATGGTCTGTCCCCACCTGTGGTCTCACCCCTCTGTGACCCTTCATAACACTTGGCATTGCTGGCCTGAGTCAGTCCCCTGGAGAATAAGAGCATTTTGGGTGCARATTGACATGCCGTCAAGTTGCCCCAAGCAATGTACATTAGTAACCTCAGCTGGCTAGGATGAGAAGTCCATCTCCAAATGCCAGCTGGTCACTAGCAGCCATCAGGGCCCTGCTGAGACTCCAGCCCATGGGCTCAGGGTCAAAACTCAGCCAGGCCAGCTTGAGGCCTCCCTAGGAGCTCAACAGTGCCCCCCTATACTAGCCCTTGCATAGACTGTGCACATAGGGGGACGTGAGGAAGAGAACCCAGATCCAACAAGRTTTGAAGTCCCCAGGCCCTCCTGCCTCCATGCTCTGCTGCCGTGTGTAGGCTGCTAATGTTTGGTAAACACCCATGACCAGGGCACATGCCACCCCACCGTCACCACAGTGCTCAAAGTGGCCCTAGGCGTCCTTGGACTGAACATCTGAGGTTTCTGCATGAGCGCCTACAAAGGGCCACTTTATGAGGCACTTAATGAATCTCCTGAGGCGTGAATGTGAATCCTGAGCCATGTGGCAGGCCGTAGGGTTATTGTGAAAATGTGATATCTGACGAAGAAGAAAAGCATGCAGATCTGTTTCTTTGGGGTAAGTGGCCATGAGCGGGAAGCCAACTGTTTTTATGAATTACTTCGGCTAGAGCTCTAGAATCATGGTTAGTGTGGAGTGTTCACTTGAGTCTTTGAGTTACACTTAACTGAGCTTTATGAGGAAATTATATGCTCTGGTGATGTTCATAAATGTGGAGATTCACAAAGATCTCCAGATGGGCTCCTGGATGGTGTTAATTGTCCCTGCTATGTGACTCTAGGAGCAGGCAGAACAGACTCACTGGGATCAGCCACGGTCCCAGCATATACAACACTGCTCCCTATGGATTCAAACACTTTTAAAAATCTCTCTTTAATTGTGAAATATATCAGGCATATAAAAACATATCTAATAATATGATTCACATTCTTAAGAAATAAAATATTACAGAGGCCATTAATGTGCCTACATAACCCCACATCCCTTTTCTTCCCCTTGCCAAAGATAACCACTGTCTTAGTCCATCCCTGCTGCCACAACAAGATATCGTAAACTAGATAATTTATGAGCAATAGAAATTTATTGCCTCACAGTTATGGAGGCTGACAAAGTTCAAGATCAAGGCTGGTGAGGGCTCATTCTCAGCTTCTCTTTTCTCACTGCTCCTCAAGTGGTGGGAGGGAATGCCCTTGAGCCTCTAACATAAAGGCACTAATCCTTTTCTTGGGGGTGGAGCCCTCACAACTTAATCACTTCCCAGTGATTCACCTCTTCACACTACTACTTTGTGTATTAGATTCTAGCATAGGAATTTGGCGGGGGGTACCAACATTCAGACCATAGGGACCACTACCCTGAATTTTTGGGTTTATCCTGCTAATACATTCTTTGAGATTTGTTATATATATRTGTGTGTAAACAGTGTATAGTATTTGGGGATACTCTTAAGCTTTATATCAATGGCATTGCATTATGTATATATCCTTCTGTGACTTTCTTCTATTTTTTTGCTTAATACAGCTTTCTTAAGATTTACCTAGGTTGATTTATAGAGCTCTAGTACATGCATTTTCACTGCTGGAAAGATTCCCCTAGGGCTGGGGATATAGTTCAGTTGGTAGAGTGCTTGCCTCACATGCATAAAGCCCTGGGTTCAATCCCCAGCACCACCAAAAAAAAAAAAAAAAAAAAAAAAAAAAAAAAAAAAAAAAAAAGATTCCCCTATAGGTCTAAACTAAAATGTATTTATTCACTCTCTGGTTGATGAGCATTTCAGTGGTTTCCAGTTTTCACCATTGCTAATAAGGCTATGGTAAACATTATTACACAGGTCTTCCTGTGCACGGGTTTCTCCAGGGTGTATATGTTTAAAGTGGAATTGCTGTCCCAAAGGTAGGTGTCTCTTCAGTCAAAATGCGCTCCACAGTGGCCGTGTCTGTTAACTCCCAGCAGATGTATGGGAGACTGAGTCACACCACACTTATCAGACTTCRATACTTGCCACTTGGATGTGGAATGGCTGCTGTGCACTCTGAACAACTAGGGTGCTTCTTTCTCAAACCTTTTTCTGGATCTTCAGGAAACCACGTGAACACACTTTAGCATTTGCAGAGGACAGAATCGTTATGAACTGAGACTAAAAAAAAATCAAATCCAAAAGATTCTAGAGGAGCCAAGTTTCCAAGAAATAGCACAATGCAGCCCTTTGACTTCCAGGTCCAACAGAGCCTGAGGGCCTATCTCACACTTGACTGGTCAGTTCCATGGTGTAGCTCCAGCTCCTTCCTTTGACCCTGGAGTGGGTATTGGGAGGGAGGGGGCTAAAGGGCGTCAGGAACTAAACTCTTTCATCAAAAGCCCCCAAACAGCCTGTGCCACTGTTAGCTTGAGCCAAGTAAGTCCAGCTAGGGTGAGATTTCTGTTTATAAATCTCTCAGGGTCATATGCACAAAAGGACCCACTCTCCAAAACAACCCTGTTATATACGCAAGCAAAGGACCACTGCAGAGCTGTGACTGTGTCTGCCCAGGACTGGGAAGATTTTTGGCCTAGAATGGTGCTCTGGAGTGCCAGGTCACTGACCACGGCTTCCCTGGGTGGGCTCTGCTCTATGCATATAGAACACAATGGGAATGAAGGGGCCATGCCATTTGACAGCCCAGGCAGAGTCCAAGGAAATTTTTGACCAGGGMATCTCCGAACCCATGTGGGAGAAATGTAGCCTCTCTGCAGATTATGTTAAATGGCCTGAAGGTCCTCCCTCCTATAGAGTTTTGTAATGTCAGAAGTAATCCAGGCTGTAGGACCTGCACTTTGGGTCCATGCCTTCAAGCAGACAGATATCAGGTATGATGACTGCAATGTGGCCAGGACACATGATGGCCCATTTGTGTCTCTGATGGGACAATAATGGCTAATGGTTCGTAAACTTGAATTCCTCAGGCAGCTTTTCTCTTGATGACTTCTTTCCATCCAGTTATGAACCCAGGTCAACATGAGGTGCCATACAATTAATCATGTGATTTGTTCAACATACGGTGGTGGATTATGGTGGGGTTCCTAACCACCAAACTCTCAGGGAATGTTTATCAAAATTCCAATTGTTCATGTCCTTTTGCCCAGTAATTTCCACTTCTTGTAGGTCTTAGTCCTATAAATATACTCMCATGTAAACAAAATGACCAGGTGTACAGTATTGTTGCAGCATTTATTTTAGTAGCCCCAAATCAAAAACACCCCAAATGCCTATCATTCATTTATTCATTTATTCAACAAAGGTTCGCTGGGTTATGCCAGGCACTGTTCTCATTTTTGGGATTCAGCAGTGAATACAGCACAGAAACTTCTCAGACCTCACAGAGCTTATATTCTGGTGGGAAGATGCGGTTGAGATTAAAAAAAAAAGAGAGTTGTTGTTGACTGTTGTTGCCAAGGAGAAAAATTGTAGCAGAAAAGAAGGATCRGGGCATTTGGGAAGAAGAGCTGCAGTTTTCCATCGTGTGGTTAAGGAAGACCTAGCTGAGAAAGTGATGTTTGGATGAAGACCTGGAGGAGTTGAGGGGATAGTCTATGTGGAGACGTGAAGGAAGTTCATTTCATTTTGAACAGGGGACCATGAGGGAAGATGCTTCAGACTACTAGAGTGTATCATGTATTCAAGGAGGCTGGCAGGTCTGGACAGAACAAGAGGGGAGAGAAGAGGGCTGCYGTGGGGACGGTGCGGAGTCAGATCGTGAGGGGCTGGGAGGCTGAGTAAGCACTTTGACRTTGTCTCTGGAGGAATTGGGGTCCCCTGGGGGAGTTCTGGGCTGCTGGCCTGGTCTTACCACTCAAAGCCTCTTAGGAGGCTGCCATAGGGAATTGGAGGGAGTGAGGGGAGACCATCCCGGTGAAGGGCGACCAGGCTTAGAGCCCAGTGGCAATGGGAACGGTGAGGTGGTTGGGCTGAAGATGCACTATGGGTGCAGAGACTTTGCTGTGGAYAGGATGTGAGGTGTCGGAGGACGAAGGAGTCAAGAATGAGCCACCRGAAGGATGGGGTTGTCATTCAGGGTGACAGGGAGGACAGTGGGAGGAGCACCTGTGGTGGGGAACATCTGGAGAACTATTTTGGACAGGACAGGTTTAAAATGTCAAATAGACAGGGCTGGGGCTGTGGCTCAGCGGTACGGCGCTCGCCTTGCACGTGCGAGACCCTGGGGTCGATCCTCAGCACCACATAAAAATAAATAAGTGAAATGAGGGTA